TATCTCAAGAACAAATAAAACCTGTCGTTCCATTAAGAAGATTTAGCTTGTTGAACAATCAAGAAGATCATTTACATTAGTTTCTTTATGCATATATATATATATATATATAACCTAGAGTGCTTCTTCTCATTATCTCACATTCTGCTTAAGATTCTTAAATAAATAAAAACATCTTATTAATTAATTGTTATTTTTAAGTACGGATTCAAGTGATTCATGTGAAGAAGCAATACGTAAAGCAAAAGAATATATAAAGAACAGTGGAAAACATCATCATATAGCTCAGGGAATGTCTGTTTCATTATCATCTTTATCAATGAAAGAACCCTTAAATCCACATAATGATCCATTAGTAACATCAAATTTTAATTTTGAAGGTTCATTACAACGTAAATGTCTTTTAAAAAATTATAAAAAACCAACTATAGCAAAATGGAAAAAATATTGGGTTGCTATATGTGAACATTTACTATTTTTTCATAAACAAAAAACCTTTTATAATGACATTACATATGCGCTTACATCGTACAAATCGACAAACATCAATAAATAGTGATAGTGATAATATATCTAAAACACAATCAGCACCACCATTTATCAATATATCATCAAATCGAACATTAATTGAATCTGAAAGATTATTTTATCGACAAAATCCAACTAAATGTCAATCAGTATCTGATTGGCTTATTGTACTTAGTCAAACAAAAAATTGAAATGAAATTCAATTAAGTGATTTAAATAGAGGTATGATTTATTTGATACTTTGTGAAGAAAGAAAAAAAAAGTTAATTTTATACGTTGTATTTAGGATCAATGTATAAATTTAAATTTGAAAATGCAGCTGTAGCAAATATATAGTTTCAACGTTTGAAAGAAGCATCAACATTTAAACAAAATAATGGTTGACGTTCAGAAAATTTAATTGCATTAGATTAATACTTCTAACCAAAACAAATTCATAATTTGTTTTGGATAATTACGTTAATATTTGAGAATTAATCATCATTATCACTAGTCACGAATATACGTGCGGATATTTGTTATTGAAAAACAAGAAGAAAAAGCACAAAACCACGAAGCTTCTTTATCTTTCTTTTTTTTTACCTATATTTCTTATTTTGTGTGTATGGTAGATATTTTAGTTTAGTACATCATCGCGTTCCTGTTTTTTTCTATGGATATTGTTGTGTGTGTTTGTCGAAAAATAATGTTTTCTTTTCGTGTGCAAATTTTGCAGAGGTGCAGAATCTTCCAAAAATCCAAAAATTTCCCCACACGCAAAAAAGTTTTTTGGAAAATTTCCCCCCTGTATTTTTTTTTGGCCAGCAGGTTTTTCCAAAATTTCCCTATTATTTGAGTTTTTCAAAAAATTTCCCTCCCTGCGCGGGGGCGCATGAGGAAGATTCTGCACCTCTGAAATTTTGATATATTGAAACAAGAAATAATAAAAAGCGCAGTGAAACTGTCAGCGCAGAAAACTAGTACAATGTCTTTGCTCTTGTAAAATTTGACAAAGTAAAATAAAGCAAATGAAACCAACCATTGTACAGCAAAAAAAATTGAAAGAATATGAAAATATTTTGACTACTAAAACTTTCATTGAGTTAATAAAGAATATCAGATATGAAAGGTTTGTTTTATTTTAGATAAGTTTCTTGTTGAATGGAACGATCAAGGTCAAATGATGAAATTCGAAATCGAAGGTCAATGAATAATAAAGTACCAGCTGGGTAAATAATTATTTACTATTGATCTGAAATGAATTGTGTTTTTATATATGTAGTTGGCTTGATTATTCTCCATTGAATACCTGGATTGAAAATACTCGTTTTGTTCCATTTAAATGTCCTCTACGATCGGTTAAGTATAATACAGTTACTAGAGAATAAAATCGAATATGAATAGTTGGATTTTTTTTAGTCAATCTTACGAAATATTAATAAACAAGACCGGTTTTCTTTAAATGATTTAATTGACCGTTTGGAAAATCAAGGACGAAAAATCGGTTTAATCATTGATTTAACTGATACTTATCGATATTATGATTATCGAGTAAGATCTATTGCAGATCAATATAAAAAAATTAAGTTTTTTTTTTGTTATATGAAAAAATAGGATGTAGAAGATATGGGTATCGAATATTGTAAAATTCGAGTACCAGGACATCAAGATGTGTCAGATAAAAGTTGTCAAAAATTTTTTCATGTTGTTAACACGTTCTTGCGAGATAATCGACAAAATGGTAAAGAATTAATTGAACAAGTTCATAGATTATACTTTTTCTTTTCTTAGATAATCTTATAGGTATTCATTGTACACATGGTATTAATCGAAGTGGTTATTTTATTGTTAGGTAAAATGTTTAATTTTTATAGTATCTTTTTTTAACATTATATGATAATTTAGATATTTAATTGAAATACTTGGTCAACAGCCAGATAATGCTATTGCTGGTAAGTTTTTATTATTGTAAAAGAGAAAGACAGTTTTATATAATTTATACATTAGCATTCA